TCGTGATTTTGCTTTCATGGGAATATGGCGGCTACTTGAGTTGGTAGTTTATTGTGATCATCATTTGATAATAGTTATGTTGCTTAAATAAGAAGTCTTGGGATGTGATCATCACTTGCTAATAGTTATGTTGCTTAAGTATGAAGTCTTGGTGAAACTGTAAGAACACTACTGTAAATTGCTTTTAATATTATTACTGTTAATTGTGTTTGGTGTTATATTCAAGAGAATAAGTTCTCATTAATCAATACTTTCGGTAGCAACCCGTACTTTTTTTTTATTCAGTATATTTAGATTTTAAATGTTTTCATTACGATTTTGTTTTTAGTTATCTTTTAAAAATAAATTTCATTAATCTCTGCCTATATTTGCAGCGAATAAAAATAAAAAAAATATATATTATGCAATAGAATTTTTGAAAATTTGCTAATTATCTTTTGAAATAAACTATATCCGTCTCGACCTTTATTTACGATGAGTAAAATAGAAAACTATTTTATTGAAATCAGTCTCGACCTTTATTTGGAGCATAAAAATTTCAAAAATTTTATGGAAATGAACTATTGTGATTTTTAAAAATACGTTTGACCACTTAATAAATAATTAAATATTAGATGTTATTTCAAATATTAACTTATCTAAAGGGTAAAATTTTTCAATGATGTTAATTCCTAAAATTATAAGATGCCACATTTTTCCTTTCAAAACATGCCATATAAAAATTCCTATATTGTATTTAAAAACATGAGATGAAAGTTTGCATTGATTGTTATAACTTCTTGCACTCAATTAAAAAAGTCCATCTAATTCATTTTATTTTAGTTTTCAAAAATCATACTTCTCACATGAAAATATATTAATTATCAGATATTCTTTTTAAGTCATTTAATTATGTTTTAAAGAATCATGCTTTTGATATAAAAAAGTATATTTTATATAAAATATTCTAAAACTTTGGAATTTTAAAGTGTCAAATATGATTTAAATTTAAATAGGGGATAATATCGCCAAACATGATTTAAATTAAATACAAGATATCTCTAATATATCTCCAGAAGATTTAAATTTGAATATGAATATATTTCCCGCATTAGATGATTTAAATTGAATATGTACACCAAACATGAATTTAAATTTAAATACGAGTTAATATTTATCTTTATAACATGAATATATTAGATGATTGATTTGATCGTGTTGTTGGGTTTGACGAAGAACGTCGGTCATTGTTCTCTAATCAAATACCTAAGAAAATAATCCTAAGCGTAGCGGAAGACTAAAGTATAGGATCAAAATCTTACAGTTTCACGAAAACTGATTCTCTACAGACTACGGGCCTGAACGAAAGGTTTTGAGATGATCTTAAACCTTTCTTCGCCGGTCTCATACGTGCGTCCTCCATTCGTCGAGTCGCTATCCTCGACGTCGCCAGGTTACCGTCCGCGGTCATCGTGTAGTTAGTCGGGAGTTGCGTGGAGCTACCGAGAACTGGTGCATGTGGCTAGGCTGCGGTTGATCGTGCGCTGCAGCTGTTGGTCGCGCGTCGGTTGCGGTTTCAGGTCACGCATTAGCTTCGGTTGTCGTGGGCTGGGGAACGTCTCCGGTGGAGCAGTGCCGCAGGTGGTGGTGTGCAGATCGTCGATGGTCGCCTTTGGTCACCGGTGATCGTCCAACACCTTCGATCTTTTATTGTATTCTTTGTTTCGGTTGGACTTCGTATGGACGAAGATCTACCAAATAAGTGTGGCTTGGAACTCTCTCTTTCTCTCTCACGGTTCTAGGCGTGTGAATATGATTGATTCCTCTTTTTATGATTGAGTTCACCCACATGACTTATATATAGGCTAGAACAGGGTCCTAAGGAGGCTAGGGTTAGAACTACCAATGGACCAAGAAATAATTGGGTTGTGGTCCACCCAATTTCTTGGGCTATTAATAATATATAATTTCACTAAATATTTATATTGCACTTTCTTCCCATCACCCCAATTATATGGGCTCCAACCTTGATTTATCTCCTTGTGCCAAAGATATAATATTTATTGATTAATTTTAATTACTGATAATATAATTAATTAACTTCTTGATGTTTCAAGACTAGTACCACTCAATCCTTATTATTATGCTGAAATTAAACCCGCTTGCAGGGCTTGACATAATAAATCTTTGTGAGCTCATCTCGAGGATGTCATCAACTTAGCGCTCCAGTACACAGTGACCGAGTATAATCAACAGCACACCACATGATTAATGATAATTCCCAACTATTATTTACCTAACGGAATAAATCTCACTCTTTGATGAATCAAAGAACAATTATTAATCACACGTGTCCATCAATATCAAACGGCTTAAGAGTACGTGATATCATGGGGTCTAGTTTACTTAATAGGTTAGTATAAAAAAAACTTGTCCTCCGGGGTCCGTTCAATAATTTGTCAACTGCTATCTCAATTATGAAACTTATTTATATTGCACAAAGAACCGTAATACAATCTTCTGTGCGAAGATGCTGCATTGTGTTATCTTCATTGTGAATAACAGGACAAAAGACAAACCCATACATAACGTAAATTGCACAAACATTTACTAAACATGATTCGTTTATTCAAAATTGAAATAATGTTCAAATAAAGCAATGTTTTCAGTATACAAATCATCAATCTCCCACTTATACTTAAAGCTATTGCTCTAGCTTTCTAAGTATTGGTCTATCTATCTAACCCAGTCATGCAAAAGGACTTTATTGCACTAAATAGTCATACATCTGACTCTCATTTCCTCTACATGTCTCTTGTAAACTTTCGCCATCAGAGCCTTAGTAAAAGAATCGGCTAGGTTGTCCGCTGATGCAATCTTGGCCAAAATTACTTTTCCTCGTCCTACGATCTCTCATATTAGGTGGTTCTTGCGCTCTATGTGTTTGTTTTCCTTGTGGGTTGGTGGTTCATTGGAGTCCAACGCTGCACCGTTGTTATTTTAATAAATTGTAATAGTCCTAGACAAACTCGAAATCACATCCAAGTCCATCAAGAAGTTCCTGAGCCATACCACCTCCTTTGCTGCTTCATAGAATGCAACATTCTCGACTTCCATGGTAGAGTCTACATCACATGTCTTCTTGACACTCCGCCAATTTATGGCTTCACCTTCCAAGTTAAACACATAACCTTAGGTAAATATACTTTCATCCCTGTCTGATTGAAAGTAGGAATCCATGTATCCCACAGGCTCTAAGTTTTCACCCGGTATATCAGCATATAATCCTTAGTCCTTCACATGTAAGGACCAAGGACTAAGGACCAATGTGTTTTTTTCCTATTGTTTTGTCACTATTTTTTCCATTTTTGTTTTTTTCCCCATGGCAAGTGTTTTTTTTATTTTTCTTCTTGTTTTTAGTGTGCAGGTTGGAAGCCCCGTGAGGAATAAATTTGGCCCGAAAATTGACCGGGCAACCATGGTTGAGTAGAAGGATTCGTTGGTGACATGTAGAAAAAAGCGGAACTCAATTTCAAATTTGGACAAGCTTGAACGGACCCAAAACGCGAAGTCGCGCGAAGCACGTCTTTGGTGTGCTGATCATAAGCTTTGAGAGAATAGTATTTCAAGAATAATTTGGCCATACAAGCATCATTGAATAGAGGGGTTCGTTGGCGACGCGTAGAAAAAAACTGAACTCAACTCTGAGTTCAAACGAGCCCAAACGAGTCCGAAACGTAGAGTCATGTAAACCGACGTCACCAAATTCACAAAAACGTAAAGATCATATTGTATTTTCGCAATAAATAAAGAATAGGTACCAAAATCACAATTACCCCATAGTACAGGTACTAAAATAACAATTACCCCAACTACCTTCAGGACGCCATCACCTTATCTACTAGCAATTAGCAAACCACATGAATATTGGAACTAATAGCAAAAGCCACACAAATTAGTTGCTGCTGCATCCAAGAAATCCCATATTCAAGTTACTGTCTGATAAGCACAAAATTACATATGTACAACATCAACATTATAGATCCAAAACACTCCACAAATCACCTCAAAAGCTCACTATATTCAACTTAGTCTCTCACAATTATAAATCACCTCAAAAGCTCACTATATTCAACTCAATCTCTCACAATCAAGAGTCGGGTCAATCAAAACTATCAACACAAGTCTAGAGNCAAGAAACAACATCCTAACCATTTGATCGTTCATCGTCAACCCTGACCACTCACATTCCATCCGTCAAACATCATTCCGAACATACTAAACACATATCACACATCTTCTAAACAAATTCAAACATCCCTATCCCAGGCCCGGCTGCCCAGCCCAGGCCCAAGCGGACTTGCCGACACTGGGCTTGTCGCAAGGCTCACATTTCTCTCTCCCATCATCCTCCTATCTATAAAAGGGGCATAATATTGCACAGGCAAAGAATCCACCTGGAACCTCACCCCTTCAGCTCGACCCACCGACCTAACCGAGATCAGACGGTCAGGCATCAAGCTCTTCTGCTGCTCGACTATCAGCTTAGCTGGCTGGTGGCAAATACTCGGTCCATTGCCGAGGCTGCATATGGTGGGTGAGCTCCGGACCCTGTGTATGCTGCTAATGGAGGCCTGGCCAGTGTTCGTAAAGTAGCTGTTTGGGATTTGGTTTAGGGTCTCAGTGGTACAGCTGTCGGGGGAGCGTGGGGAGGAGCATGCAGACGAGACTCTCGAGCTTTGTTGCATTGCATTGAGTGCCGCGTGTAAGCGTATGGGGTTTGGCTCGGGAGGTTTGAGAGGGAAGAGGAAGGTGCGGAGTCTCGGGAGGTTTGAGTGCTCGTGGAAGTTTATCTCGTCGAGCATGTGGCGGAGGTCTTCGTCGGATTTTACGGAGACGAGGGCATCGAGGTCCTCGGACCGTAATTGGTATTTGAGCCTCATTTGTCCGTCTATTTTGTAGCACACCTTCTTCATCAGTTCTGCACAAGGCAAGTGCGAAAATAAAAGATTCCGGCAAATGCAAGGGAATGTCTCGATTTTGTTTCCGTTTTTCGATTTTTGGTACTTGGTAGGAATTTTGTTTTTTATCAGCACAAGTGGTTAGAAATTTTTGAAAGAACTCGTCAATTTTTCGATCGGAATTGATAAAAGATCATCTCGTGTACTGCTACACCTTGAGCAGTAATAGTAACCTCACAGTAGGCAGTTTGGAAAACAGATTATATGAGAACAACACAAGGACAATCACAATTCAGTGGAAAAAATGTAAGTATATGCATGGTAAATGACAACACGCCAATTTCTACCTAAAATGTGTGTTCGCTAATCTATATTAGCTAACTAATTCTGTTAATTCAATCAAAATATCAAACAAAAACCATATGTTACAAGCAAAGTGCCTCAGCATTTTCGGGTAAGATAAAAGAGATGAAGCTCATCCAAGTACAGCAGCTATTGGCACAAATAGACGACGAAATTTCAGATTTTAATTGCTGCAGAACGTGAAAATGCTAAATAAATCATGCCTGTTTCAATTCAATTGCTGTTTATCATAAAAAAAGCATCAAGGCACGCAGGAGATGAACAATTTCTGAAATTCGAAATCCAATTTCTACAAACAAGCAAACAAGGCAGAGAGAATTATAACAGTTGATAAATAAAAACGAGTAGAAGCAAAATTAGGGCATCGTACCCTGAAATGAAATGTCTATAGGGACGGAGATGACACGGGTTTCTCCGCCGACGTACTTGAGGTGGCCGTCGGAGGGGCGGGGGAGGATTCTGCCGCCGTGGCTACAGAGGAACTTGAGGCGGCTTTTGGGCGAACCGGGGGCGGAGCTCGGCGCCGAACCGGTGAAGATGCCAACACCGTCTGTGGACATGATTAAATCAGATTGTAATCTCTGATTTCTTTTCCATGGAAGGAAAAAATGGGAAGAAGAAAATGTGATGTGAAGCAACGGAACAGAGGATTTTTAGAGAAAGAAAAATGGAAAAAAAAAAAGGGAAAATGAATGAGCAGGTTTTCGAAAGCTATTTTCTGGAGGCGGCAAAAGTAGTATTTATAGGAGCGCAATATTAATTATTACTAATGAGTATCCCGGTGGGCTTGTTTCTTAAAACATTTTTCAAAAATTTTATTTTAACAATATACTACTTACTAACTATTTTTATTAATATAAATAACATTTTAACATCTATATTTATTTTTTGATATAGAAAAAATTATAATTTTACCTATTTCTATTCATCATAATACTCAACTATTATTTTTTTTTAAAATTTATTGTCATATAATGTCATATTACTATTATTTATAACACTTATAAAAGTAGTATTCTTTATATATATAATGATAAATGTTTAATATAAACTAATATTATTTATTTATGTAATTAATTTAAAATTATTTAAACAAATTTATAAGCATGTTTTGGAAAAATATCAGATTTCAAGATTTTTGAGTATAAATTATTTTGGTTAATTTATTAATTCCGAAAACATAATATGACATTAGAAACAAAATAGGATTCTTGTAAAGATAGTCTTCATGATTTTGAGAACACATATCTTGAATTTATTTGTTTAACTCAAAGCCTTGCAAGAATCCCACTAATTTTTTATTGTTACCACAATTTATATATGTAAATATAGAATTATAGTGATTGTGTATTTGTCAAGAAAAGTTTTAATAATTTTTTAAACGCCTATTTTTAAAAATATTCAGATGTCACTATGTTTGAGTATATAGATATGCTTTTTTTCTTTATTAGTCAATGATTGTAAGCGAATGTTTATTTCGATTATAAATTTTTAAATCAATTTTATTGCAAGAGTTACATTAATTTGGGATTGCTCTTCCCCCCACAACTAATAAATGAAATATATTATATTTTATAAATATTACATTTTGTAATTGGTTACATAATTATGGATTTAATAAATTTATAAAATTAATATAAATTTTGAATTGTCATTTTCTTAAAAAAATCGTGCATAAGTACAATTTGTAAGATAAAAATTGATAATTAACAAATATTGGTAAGATAAAATTTGTTTGACACATTCTGATTTATTTTCCCAAAAATAAAAAGAAAAATCGATTGGTGAAATTCGCAAATAAATAGAATTGATTTACCAAAGTTTCAACCGATTTATTAATAATATTATAACAATATTGTTAGTTAAGATAAACATGAAAGATTTTCTATTCTTTTTTTTAGCACACAAAGGAACTGATTTCTTGCTCTGAAAATCAATACATAATTTTATCATCACCGCTGAAAGAAAAACAAAAACAAAAACAAAAAAGAAAATCTCTATCATCCCCAACATAAAATTTCAGTAACACTGCTAGCCACAACATAAAGCACAAACGAACTCCCAATCTCAAAACCTCAACCACTCAATTAGTACTCCAAATTAGGCATTTTCATCTTCTCGAATCATTCTACAATTTATTATTAAAGGAAGAGAGACAGACCAAACAGTATCAGATGGCATTGAGAACCTTCAAGACTACATCCTCAACATACATGGCGTACCTCTTCAATCGAACCCCCAAGCCCGCCGGCTTGTCGCTCAAATCGATGGCACCCAATCGCCCGAGTGAATCGTCCATTGCCGTCGGTCAGCAGAAGCACCTCGTCTCCGATCTTCAGATCCGCCTTCCACGCCTTCATCACGAAGTCGTTGTTCATGGAAACGCACAAGATGGCGTCGATTCCCCTGGCCTTGAACTCGACACCGTATGTTGATTTCTCAGAAAGAGAATCGGAGTTTTTAGTGCAAGATAAATCGATCGATTCTTGCAGCTTTAGATCGGAGATCGATACTCTCTTCGTTTATGAAGGTTTGAGAATTGAGGTGGAGAATATTTCATGAGAAAGAAGGAATAAAGAAGAGGGTAATGGGAAAGAGAAAGAGGAGAAAAAAGATATTCAGTATTTGTCAAAGATAATAATGTTATTATATGGAATGGAAAATAAGGAACGTATCCCAATAAAATATGATCTGAATGTTATATACGATTTTTTCTTTAAATATTTGAACCGAATTCTTTTTCCAAAAAATTCAAAAACGTATTTAGCGGCATAAAAATCAGATTTGGCAAATCAAAAGGAAGTGGAGTTTATCCGATATGTAAGAGATCTCATCCAAAATAATGAAAACGTGCATGTAAAACATTCAAATAAAATTTTAGGGGGAAAAACACTATATTCAAGCGGGAAAAAAAATGATTTTTTTCGGATTGTTCAAATAATTTTTCTTCTCCGTATTATATAGTAATAGATTTTATTACATTTCACCTATAGTTTTATTACATTCAAAGATTCTAATTATTCTGTAAATGTTTTTTAAGCATAAATGTTGTATTTACTTTAAATAATAATTAGCACGTAACCCGTGGGTGCACGGACAACAATAATAAAGTATATAAATTAGAGCAATATGGAATATTGATTAATATAGAATAGTTTTAAATGTTAATATTAATATCTGTTTTATTATATTTCTATGATATATAATAGTTTAAAATATGATATATATGTTTATTTCACTAATTATAAAATAGTTATCATTTTAGAGTATTTATATGTTTATTCACTAACTATAAAATAACTATCATTTTAGAGTTCTTGTTTTGAATTAAGGTACACGAAATTTTGAAACATTCAACCTCATCAATAAACAATATTCACAAAAATATTTTTCTCTTCTCTTACTCATACTTTAATACAATATATATATTTCTTCTATTCCTAAATAGATGACGATGAAGTTGAAAAATATGATAAATATTTTAAACTGAAGCTTAATTTAAAAAATATGTTGTGTACATTATTTTAAAATCATAAAATTTACTAAATTTTAATTATGTCAAAATTATTTTAATATTCTTTATAATTTATAATAATATATTATAAATATTTTGATTTTGATTTATAATAATATACATTATAATAATATTTTAAACATTTTCTAAGCTAACAGTTTACATCATTGTTCGTCATATAACTTGTTGGTTTATCATTATAATTTATAGCAATATTCATTATAATTTATAATAGAAGTTATCATCAAGATTAAAAAAATAAAAAAAGAATTAGAGGGTAAAATTTGTAGATCTATCATATTTTCTTTGGTTGCGATACCGTGTTTATGTTATAACTTTATAAAATTACGAGCTAAATTAAATTATAATTGATTGAGTTGTAAATAAACTCATTATCTATCGTTCTTTCTTTTAATTTTATTTTTTAAATAGAGGATTTGATTAAAATTATGAAAAATATTGGGATAATTTTATGTTTACCACACCAATTAAAAGAAATTGCAGTGTTATGAAGGGGAGAATTATAATTGCATTCCTACTTATTAGATGACATTTATTTGTGTATATGCAAATATATAGTTACAAAAAAAAAAAANGGAAGAACATCCCTTAAATTGCGCAGCTGAGTTGATTGCGCTAATCATGGGTTTTATGTCTGGAGAGAGAAACATTTTACGTCGACATCTTTTATCCCAGTCTTCGTTTATGTCAGATATATACATGACATATACATACGAAAAATATAAACAATATATATACGAAAAAAATCATCTTTTATCCCAATCTTCGTTTATGTCGAATATACACATGACATATATATGACATATACATACAAAAAATATAAACAATATAAAATACGAAAAATATACAGTACATATACCTGCAATTACACAAACAACAAAAGCAAACGGTGTATCATTCGAATCTCTACTTCAACTTCAAAGTATTATTCGAATAAAACAAACAATTTGAATGATAAACAAATCATATTTCATCATTTTAAAAGCGGGCAAATTTTACCTGCCCATAGTATCAAAATGGGCCATCAGCTGCACCAAACACCGCCACAACCACACTTCCTCATAAGCACCTTCCAAAACCCTTCACAAACCCACCCGTGCAATAATGCCTAAACAGATACACGAAATACACGGGCGCAGCCACAACAAAGAGATGCTTATAACAGAGCAAAACCGCAAAAGAGAACCCTCCCAGCAAATCCCTCCCTTCCTCCAGAAATGAAATCGACAGCAAAAGCATGCCCAGCAGAAACCCATTGTACTGAAAGTGCAAAAGAGAAAAATATCAATTAAAAGGGAAGAGAAAAAATTTAATGAAAGAGTTGTAAAAAAGGAAGAAGACGTGAGAGGAAGAGAGATAGATGGAGAGAGAGAGAGTGGTGGGGATATTAAATCCCATTTAAGTTAGTTAACTAATCTAAATAAATCACAATAAATCAATATTAGTAATTTTACAAATAAAATGATAATCTCGTATATATGCAGTAAGAGTTCTGTTGTATCGTTCAAGGTAGTTAGATACCTTATACTATATGTTTTGGGATAGGGGATTGTGTCAGGCCTATTAAATAAACATGGATCTACCCATGATTTATCGAAATATTTTTATTAGAACTTTTATTGAAAATTTCAAATGGGAGAAATAATACTAATATTTATTTAGAATTGTCGTTGAAATTCCGTTGTAATATGTTTACAGTAGATTTTTTGTTAAAATTTTATCATTTTCTTATAGTAAAAGTAGTGCTCCAAATCAATAAAAAATTTTGCATCATATGTAATATTGTGTGCTGCTAATTATTATAAAAATTGTTGATAATAATACAAAATATAATACATTCAATGTAATTATCATTTAACTTATTGTAATTAGTAATTTTTTTCGAAAGAAAAAAGATACATGTTAGTTGAAAAGTCCTTAATTATTTTATTATTATTATAAACTAAACAAGGGTAAAAATGATGTTCTTTGTAATAAAATGTAACACCACACAGTAAGAAAGTTTATAGCTCGTATCCATTCAAAAGTAAAAAAATATATAAAATTAATTAATGTCCTATACCAATTGGAACTCGTTGAGGAGAAATATAAACATACTTAAGATGTACGTTTATTTTAACTAAAACTTTTAAGTATAGAAAAATCATATATTTTTTGGCATTAAAAATCGGCATGTTAGTCTTAATTATATACTTTCTACCATTAATTTTTATAATTTTTATAAAAAATTATATAATTTTTGGGATTAAAAAATTATATACTTTCTACCATTAATTTTTATAATTTTAAAATACTTAATATTTTTTTTATTTGTTACCCTTTTTATATGTAATATATCACATCATTTCTTTTCAATGTTGTTTGACTTTACCAATATATTGTAAATAAAATAAAAATAGTATAATTATTTTTAACGATACTATTGTTGTATTGACCTCCAACAAGTATGAATGTTACTTTCGTGAACGTCAAAACTAAAATAAAATAAAATTAATCTTCAATCATCTAACATAAATAAATAAAAGAACTAATGCATCTATAATATATACATTAGGTCTTTATTTAGTTATTTAGTGTTTTTTTTTAATTAATGACTCATTTTTCTTATTTTTTGTTGGAATTATAATATATTATTTCATTCATTTTAGATAATGACGTTACATTTTATTTTATTCCTACAATAACTAAACTTAATTGCTGAAAAACATTTCAAACCACGTACACAGACATGTACAATTTACTAGGTGTAATTGAAAAATACGACCGAATGACAAATTTGTTATTTAATTCATTTTACCACATATATTTCAACTTCACAAGTTCTCAAAATGTACGTGAAAATTTGACAACCCGCCTCTTGAATGTTGTCGTATTATCACTGCTGGTAAATAAATGCTGAAACGAATGATGTCCTCGTATTCCTACTTCTGGTAAGTAATCCTAAAACGAGATGAAATTTCCAAACAATTATGAGTGGCGAAATTCAAGTCGAGTAGGAAAATTAATTGACAACTTTTGCATCTTATCAGAAGAAAGATTTATAATTTGTCAATTCAGAACAAGTGATTCCCAAACTCGGTCGACACTTACTCCAACACAATTTGAAAGCTTGCAAACCTGAATCACAGCTTCAAAGACAGTCAAATCATATTCCAAACATAACCGTCATTCAAATCATAAGATGGTTGAGTAATGATGTTTTTATCGTACAAAGACAGATTCGCCTACAAGAAAAGCGCGCTCTTTCAGGACAAGGCATGCATTTTGTACAGAGGAGGAGGATCCAAATCGAAATAGTATTTTCCTGTCAGAATCTGTGATGCAACGTGCTTATTGGCAGCCTCCGTGTAATGAACACCATCCCAACTTACATACTCTCTGTTGTCATCACAACCTCCGGCCACGACCAAACTTCCGTCCACGACAGCTGTCTCTCCACAACTGACCCGCTGGTCATAATTAAAGGGCGGACCTCCATAACCGCAGCAGGCCATTCGTGGCTGCTTAAATCCTGCAAGTACAAGTCAAATTTTACAATTACTAGCCATTTTGCAGTTATAAGAGGAAACACAATGTAATGTTGAGAATTAGATAATAGTACGAACCGTGTAGAGAGTAGTTTGCTATGAGGTCCAACTTGATGGAGAAAATATCGACAAGGGTGATATTTGCATCCGGGTATTGGCCTTGCAATTTCTTGGTGAGGTCGAGAAGGTTCAGGTTGAAAATCCTCGCAACTCGGTTGAGATCATCGACACATCTGAGATCATCCAGCTTAAACGGCTCTTCATTTCCGAATCCAGCAATGTTCATGGGCAAGCAGCCTAAAGGTCCAGTGTTGTGGATCCAGAAATTTCTCCCCCCTTGATTGTATACTTCCTGAGAATATTAAGTTTGTTACAGAACAGTGTTGTTGAAATATGATCTAGGACAGTTCACAAACTCTCAGAAAGAAAAAAAAAAAATATACATAAATTTGAAATACCTTGATTCCATTTTCGAATTCTAACAGAATTGTTGGAATCGAGTCAACAACTTGATCGGATGTTTTGCCATCCATAAAGGGGATGTTTAAGTCGTTCTGGGCTATGTCGAACATGTAGAGCGCCTTTTCAAAATAATCTGGAGCTGGAATATACTCTTCATACTTGCTTGCTAACAAGATTTGAACAGTAACAGCAATTCGATATAAAAAAGGAAACCCGAAATAACAGTTAGCTACACAGATTGTGAGTTATGTTTGGGTAAAATAAGAAAATTAGGGATAAATAAATTACACTCAGTTTGTATTTCTTCAACTTTTGCCTTGAACCTTACGAATTGGGCCACCTGGATCTTCAACGAAAACGGGCAACGGGACCGTGCGGGCGGCTTGAGCACAGTAGCCCCTGCGGCCGCAAAATTGCACCCTCGCCGGAAAACCGGCGCCCCTATTGAATCCAAATACGCGTTCAAAAACGGCAACTCCATAGCATCCACTGTCACATCAAAACAAACAAACAAAAAGCACGCAGTAAGGGATATGTTTGGCTGCAGGAAAACAAAATCGCTAGAAGTATGAGAAATTCGTGATAAGTTTTACTTAGAAAATCGATGATCAGCCGGCCGTCGCAGAACCTGCCGGAAGATCTATTGAAGTACGTTTGGCCATTTGGCAGGGAAAGGGTTTGGCCTATCCCGGCCACGAGGTTGCCGGTGTCGGAATTCGAATCGCCGAAATTGAAAACCGCCGGGTAACGGCAATCGATGGAGATGAGGAGGGAGATTAATGTGAAGAGCAAGCAGAGACTTGGCGAGGTACAAGCGATCGAAACCATGGCCCTATGCTCAGAAAAAAGGAAGTGATGTCTTGTGGATGACCGACTTAATAGTGACCAGTGAGAGCATCACAATGTATTGAGCATCACAATGAAGTGATCTTAGGGTGTGATTGTTTATATTTTCTACAGTAAATATCCCACTCAAAACTCAAATTTAACTCAACTTTAACTCAACTCCACTATCTCCAATATTATCAATATAATTAAATAATATCAAAAAATCATTATTACACATCACATCAACTTTAATTCACTATTCACACACTCATATAATTTTAACTAACCATCACTTCCAATCATTTTCTCCTACTTTTATATCAAATCAACTTTAATTATTTTAATTTAAATATTATTTTAATATATCCACTAACAACTAACCATACTACTTTTTTTTCAAACTTAACTATAGTTAAAAAAAACTAGTTTTTTACTAGTTGAATTCATATCCAATCACCCCCAGTTTTCGGGAACTTTCTTTGAAAATCCCCCATCCTAATTTCATCATCCAGGTCAATCTCTACTAATAATTTTTATCTATTTTACTCTCTAACCTTCTATTTAACTTTCATTTAAATCCCTCCTATTAAAATAACTCAAAAAGAAATTCTAGTGTGACATCATCCATTATCATACTCATTACATATTATTTAATTATTTTCTTTTGCCTAACCTTACATAAATAATAATATTTTATTTTTATCTTCTTCCACACACAAATCACCATCTCCCTCATTTGCCGGCGACACCAAACCCGACGAGATGAGCTCCGGCGGCAACAAATTCGGCAAATTAAATGATCCCGACGTCAAATTTCTCCGGCCGAAAAGTCATATTTTTCCGGCAACATTGAGCCTTTTTCCGGCAAAAACTTGAAGTAGTAAGTAATCTATGTATTATATGAGGACTTTGGAGTCCAACAATCATCTTTAATTCATATATTTTCTGTTAATTTGTTAAGGATTCAATTTTGAATAGTTGTTTATATTTACCCTAAAACAAATAAAGTGATCATAATCTCTTTTTTGTTGTTCATGTATACAAAATTTATGCTATTGTTAGGCTATGTTAAGTGTTATTCACCATAAAACAAAAAAATAAGATGATAATAATCATAGTAGTACTATTCATGATTTTTGTACCTCTGTTTGTATATCTAGTACCACGTTGCTCACTGTTTGGTACCATATGTGTTGGAAAATGTGAAGTTTTGTTTTATCCAATTATTGTTAGATACATGGAAGGGGCACAAAGTGATATATTAGGGAGTTGTACTTACAAAAATGAATTGTATGCGTTATTTATGCACCTTGAATCAACGTTTGACGAAGTGTACACTCTCATCAAAGAAAATGAAATTTGAAGTGAGGGTGTGTGTTGTGCTGTGCGCAATCTATCTATATATATATATATATAATAAGAATTATTATTTACTAAAAATAGTAAGAAAAAAAATCTGTCAAAATTTAATGCAACCTAAAAATAATAATTTTTAATTATTTTTTTAATCGGCAACATAAATACATCCCTAAATTGTGGGGTTTTGTTAGCTTCGGTATTCAAATCTCGAAAGAGTTAATCCATATTATTTTTAAAAATGACCGTTTCTTTTCCAATTTTACACTAACATTTGAAATGGAATCCCCAAAATGATTTGATAACGAAAATGGATTTGATAATTTGATGGATTTATGAAATATTTTTCCTGAATTGGTGGCAGTAAAGTAGGGTAAATTTGTCTAATCAATAATTGTGTCAATCTATTTGACATTTTATTTTCAAATTTTGTTGATAAATCTTTATATAATTATATATAGTGAATAATAATTCTTAAATGTAATATCTATATATATATAAAGAGAATAACTATTTACCAGAAATATTAAGAAAAAAATTCGGGCAAAATTAAATACATGGTAATTTCGGGATTTTTTTTTTAATTTTCTATTTTCTTTAAACAAAAAAATCGGACAGCATTTAATGCTCCCATCAAAATTGGGTATTATTTTCAAATTCAAAAATTGTGGCTCCAAAAATTTTGGATCGACTTTTCCAACCATTTTGGACGGACTTTCCAACCCATACCTTAAATTCCTTAAATTAAGAATTTTGTTCAACTTAAAATTTTAAACTCGATTCCAAAATATGGTGTATATCAAATTGTATGCATTTTAAAATTCAAAAACACCAATGCACACGGTTTTTAGATATAAGCATTTTCTAAAAATGTTGGACTGATTTTTTTAATTATTTTTTGACGGATTTTCCAACCATTTATAAAAATTAAGGATTTTGGTCAACTTAAACTTTCAAAATATTGACTCCAAAAAATCTGGTGTAAATCAAATTGTATGCATTTTAAAATTTAAAAACACAAAGCACACGTTTTTTTGATATAAACTTCTTAAAATGAAGGATTGATGCAATTGAAATCACATCTCTTCAAACTTCTGACTTATTTGGTTTAAATTTTCAAGAGATTCATAATTGACTCTGAATTTAAAATCATTAGTTTTCAAAAGCTTAAGGAATTCCTCTCATTTTGGATTCTTTTGGGTAATGTGTCATTACTAATATTTTATATTTGTTTAGGCAATTTTTTTACACATTTTATAAATTAAGTTCTATATATATAGATGTTAAATTTAAATGCCCGTGGACATTTTTTGGTTACAAAATTGATTAACAACAATTTTAGGCGAATTCACATTTTTTAAGAATAATAAAAATATTTTATATAATCTTACATACGTGATATAATATTTTAGGTATTTTTAATATTTTAAACATACATGTTTTATGTTATACAATATAATTTTATATTTTAAATTATATCACATATTAATATCTTTTTTTTAATTTATAATTATTATTTAATATTATTTATATGTGCATTGCACGGGCTACGCACTAGCAATGGAGAAAAAAGGAGGAAAATGAAAAGAAAAATAAAAGAGAGAAGGGTGAGATAGAGAGACAGTGGAGCGAAAGTGATAGGGAAGGTGATGAGATTTGAGTGGAAAATAACTAATTTTAAATAAAGTAATTTGGACTCTGACCATTATGAGTAATGAGCCAAATAAAAAATAAATATTGGGCATGGAGTTCAAGTTCATGTGCAGCATGTATGCAATTTTTTATTTCAACACTCATGAATGATTGCTACTAATTGGAAATCAAACAAAAAAAAAGATAAGATAATATTTACTAGATCATTTAATTATATAATCATGTTTTGCCAAATATAAAAGACAAGAATTATTGAAATATGTTTTTATTAAATGCATACTACTCTATTGAAATAAAAAATTACATACATGTGCAGCATGTATGTAATTTTTTATTTCCACACTCATGAATGATTGCTACCAATTGGAAATCAAACAAAAGAAAAGATAAAATAATATTTACTAGATCATTTAATTATATAATCATGTTTTGCCAAATATAAAAGACAAGAATTATTGAAATATGTTTTTATTAAATGCATACTACTCTATTTAATGGTAGCTTCGATTTAAGACCAATATTGATATAGTTTAATATATTATATGATTATGAAATGTTTGAATTTTTCTATAGTGAAAATTATTTAGTACGGAAACATGCGAATATGTATGGATTGACGGGTCAAGTAATATTTAATAGTAGCCGACGGGTCAATTGTTGATCAAAATATTACTCCCTCTTTTTTAAATTAGATGTCGTTTTGACTTTTTTGATTCATCCATTTTGCTACGTATCTAGACATATTTTAATGTCTAGATACGTAACAAAATGGATGAATCAAAAAAGTCAAAACGACATCTAATTTAAAAAGGAGGGAGTATAAATTGTTATGTAAAATGGCAGAGTGCAACAACCGGCAATAGAAAATACAATTAAAGGCTTGAACGGCTAAATAGACCAGTCAGTGTATTAATATAAAAAATAGCCGGTGATATGGAATGGTCATATGATAAGGTTATGTGGAACAAAAAGTACATGTAAAAGGATAAAAATGGCTATATGTACATGAGCCAATCAATGCGGCTTTGCCGCCGGAGATGGGCAATACTAATTAGTGATGACCAATGAGTGAAATGAATGATAGTTTGTATCTAGTTATGTAAGAAGTTGACTAAAGTCCTGATCGTGAACGGACATTATATGGACTAACCTGATCCTGAAAAATAGTTGATAAATTCTTCAAATTTATGGATAAATAAAAATTGTTGAGATAGTACCAGAAGTTAGCACATGATTAATATGATATCGAAAGTTACTACATAATGATTAAATGATATCGTGGTATAGTGGCACTGGAAGCTACCGCATTATTATTTAACAAAATGATGAAATGGTAGCAAAAACTATCATTGGATGATTAAACAAAGTGATACCAAAAGTTACCAGTTATGGGATCTCACAAAATGATTTCTCAGTATATTATATGAGTCTAAGGGAAGATACCAGATGACGAGATCACATTGATAATAAGAGATCATATATATTACAATGAAGTGCTCTAGAAGAAGCACATACAGTAATAATTGTAGTCATGAAGTACTACATACTTATTTTGAAAAAAAACGAAATTGATATTATTATTAATAAGGAACAAGTACAGAAGGATCATGTTAGTGAAAATGGATTTCACTCGGGCTTCTTCAACTCGAACAGCCTCCGTACCTGCAAGAACCCAACACCGGGAGGGGTCCCGACATCGGGCCTCCGACGCTCAAGCCAATATCACTCCAAAACTCCAAATCCCAAGAGTATAGTAATCATTGTAAAGAGAGTTAGTGAATGAGATACCTTAACCCCATTTTATAGGGGAATGTAGCTTATGGCCCAAGTTGGGCTTGTTCAATATCATCATGTCACGTGTCCTAGCCCATGTGTAGGCTTATTCTCCAATATATTTCATTTTTATCCATTAAAACCAGTCTAGTATAATATCCTATATCAGATCAGATGATGGAAATATGGATAAGAGGTAGTGAATTCTCGATAAATATACGAAAAAATTACATAATATAACCCATAATAGAAGAATGCATCTCGGTAGTATGAAACTCCATAACTCTGCCACCAATGAATGATATCTAAGTCCATAATGAGAGATCTAAAGGATTAAAAACTATTTTTCACTTGACCCATTGTGTTTCCACATAATCTTGAAATGTGATTCATTCTTGAAGCTTTTTGATAAGTTCAACAGATATCTCTGCAGATTTGAATACTTCTCTCGTTGAAGGAGATATAAATGTTTGATATACTTCTTCGTCTAAAAATCCAAGCAAACCTTGAAAAAAAATATTAAATATCAATAGATCTATGGGCTTGTTATGAAGTTTCAATTCTACCCAAGAAGCAATAGTAAACATTGTCATTAGATTTCCATAACCGTCTGAAAGAATGATAAAAGCATCGCTATTTTCACCATAACCATCATACAGTCATATATAGAATGAGTTAGCATCAAGCTTGTGGAATCCATGACGACTCTTGTTGAAGCTCTACTAAAAGGTATGATACTTTTCATTTCTATCTCAAAACATTGTCCAACCATTAACAGATTATTAAAGAAAGTGATGTTAGTTCCTCAATACAGTAAATTGATTTTTTATATTCCCCATCTCCCTTACTAACCGACTTACAATATCAAAATATCTAAAATCTATATCTATATATATATAAAGAGGTTGTTGGAAAAGTACATTAATAGAAAGTTTGACCAAATAAATATAATGTTTGACTTACTATTAAGGGAAAGTTCGAAAAAACACATGTAAATCTTTAGAAACAAAATCTGAATCCTATTTTTTCGATAACAAATTTGGAGATTCTTATGGCAAAATTTAAATCCCATTTTTTTCGTATCATATTTTATTCTTTTACCAAAATGTAAATCATATCTTTTTTGGTAACAAATTTAGAGATTCTTATGCAAAAAATATGTCAATTATTTATGAAAACAATTCTAAATACAAATCAATTTAAAAACCGTGCAAATTGGATACAAATTTACGAAACAAATAGTTGTATAATTTCTAACCAATTCTTCCAATCTTAATGAATAATTTTTTCTTTCAAAAAAGTGTGTAAATTGGTTAAAACCACGTGTAATTTTTATTTTAAAATAAAACTGATATTTGGACGGGATGTACATTCAAAATTATGCCCACATTTTTTGGTAACAAAAGCGATTCATCTTTTAAAATAATTAATTGCACACCATATTTAGAAAGTTTTAGATATTTTAAATCATAAAATAGGGTAGCATTAAATGCCCCTAAAATTATGGGTTTTGTTGAATTCATTTTTGAAAATTTCGACAGATATTAAAGTCAATATGAAATTCAAAACCTCTTCTCATTTTATTTTTAATAAAATCTGCATCCAAATTTACGTGTGGTTTTGAAGTGAAAATTTGAAATTCAAAATCTCTTCTTATTTTAGTTACAAGAAAATCGGACTGCATTCAACACTTGTACCAATTTAAAAATTATTCATTAAATGAAGAAATTTATAGATAATTGTTATCTCTACTCAATCACATTATTATTTTCAATATAAAAAGAGACAAATTACAAATTAGTGAATCATATATTACCTAATTCAATATCTTAACATTAAGGAATAAATGCATAGTATTATGTAAATCCGTATCTCATATTATTATATCATTAAGAATATATTATAGTTATATTATCAAATCTTTTAAAGACATTAAATCCATATTGTAAAAAAAATAATTCATATAATTTTATAATGATTCTACTACACTATTTAACAATATTCATTTTTATTATATAATAAAATAATAATTAAATATTATATACTGAACAACAATAAGTAAAACAGTTACTTTCTCTTATATCAAGGGATAAATTTATATGCTAAAATTAAGTTTTCGGTCCGGGTCGCGGGCCGGTTCGGCCCGTGGCCATGTCTGACCACAAGGCACACTTCAAGATGTTCAAGATGTTCAGATTGGGCTTCGTTCAAATCAGTTAATATATGTTTATAAAATAGCCATTGAAATTAGTTAATATATGTTCAGATTGAACCTCTTCACTTTAATAGCAAAACCTTGAGGTTTGATTTTACAAACCTCTTTAAACCTCCCTATTAAAGATACCCTTACTCCAACACAATTTGGGAGCTTGCAAACCTTCATCAAATGATTTCATAGCTTCAAAGACAGTCAAATAATATTCCAAAAATAACAGTCATTCAAATCATAAGATGGTTGAGTAATGATGTTTTTTTCGTACAAAGAAAGATTTGACTACAAGAAAAAGCATGCACATTCAAGACAAGGCATTTATCTTGTACATTGAAGGAGGATCCAAATCCAAATAGTATTTTCCTGTCAGAATCTGTGATGCAACGTGCCGATTGGCAGCCTCCGTGTAATGAACCCCATCCCAACTTACATACTCTCTGCTGTCATCACAACTTCCGGCCTTGACCAAACTCCCGTTCACGACAGCTGTCTCTCCACAGCTGATCCGCCAGTCAACATTAAATGGCGGACCTCCATATCCGCAGCAGGCCATTCGTGGCTGCTTAAATCCTGCAAGTACAAGTCAAATATAATACTGTACAACCTAGATAGATAAAGAGCAACTATTATAGGCTTCGGTGATTTGTTAGTCGACTTGAAAAGGGAAACACAATGTAATGTTGACAATTAGACAATAGTACGAACCGTATAGAGAGTACTTTGCTATGAGGTCCAACTTGATGGAAAAAATATCGACGTGGGTGATATTTGCTTCCGGATACTGGACTTGCAATTTCTTGGTGAGGTTGAGAAGGTTCAGGTTGAAAATCCTCGCGGCTCGATTGAGATCGCTGACACATCCGAGCTTATCCAGCTTAAACGGCTTTTTATTTCCGAATCCAGCAATGTTCATGGGCAAGCAGCCTAAAGGGCCCGTGTTGTGGATCCAGAAATTTCTCCCCCCTTGATTGTATACTTTCTGAGAATTAAGTTTGTTAAGAGTGTTGTTGGAAAATGATATAGGATTTTTCACAAACTCACATATATATAAAAAAAAAAAAGAAAAAAAAAAAGAAAAATTGAAAGACCTTGATGCCGTTTTTGAATTCTAACAGAATTGTTGGAATCGAGGCAACAACTTGATCGAATGTTTTGTTGTAGTAAAAAGGGACGTTTAAGTCGTTCTGGGCTATGTCGAACATGTAGAGTGCCTTCTCAAAATAATCTTGAGCTGGAATATACTCTTTATTCTTGCTTGCTAACATAAGAAAGGAAACCCGAAATAAAAGTGAGGCCATGTAGCTATACAGATTGTTAGTTATATTTGGGTAATAAGAAAAATGAGAGAGAAATAAATTACACTGGGTTCGGATTTCTTCAACTTTTGCCTTGAACCTTACGAACTGGGCCACCTGAATCCTCAATGAAAATGGGCAAATGGACCGCGCAGGCGGCTTGAGCACAGTAGCCCCTGCGGCTGCAAAATTGCAGCCTCGCCGGAAAATCGGCGGTCCTATTGAATCCAAATACGCGTTCAAGAACGGCAACTCCATAGCATCCACTGTCACATCAAAACAAACAAAACGCACGGAGTAAGGGCTATGTTTGGCTGCAGGACAACAAAATCGCTAGAAATATGAGATATTCATGATAAGTTTTACTTAGAAAATCGATGATCAGCCGGCCATCGCAGAACCTGCCGGAAGATCTATTGAAGTACGTCTGGCCATTTGGCAGGGAAAGGGGTAGGCCTATCCCGGCCACGAGGTTGCCGGTGTCGGAATTCGAGTCGCCGAAATTGAAAACCGCCGGGTAACGGCAATCGACGGAGATGAGGAGGGAGATTAATGTGAAGAGCAAGCAGAGATTTGGCGAGGTACAAGCGATCGAAACCATGGCCCTATGCTCAGAGAAAAAAGATGTGATATCTTGTGGATGACTGACAAATAATAGTGACCAGTGAGTACTGACAAATAATAGTGACCAGTGAGTGGTGGTTTTAAAAAAAAAAAAGAAAAATAAAGTGAGTGGTGGTCTTACCAAAAAAAGAAAAAAAAATGTGAGTGGTGGTCTTGCCAAAAAAAGGTAAAGTAAATGTCGCTGTTGGCCACTACAGTTCGGAAACATGGAGTCTTTATCCAAGTGGATATGGATTTAATTGGAAAATTCAACTATTTTTAATCAAATAACTTATTATTGTGCTAATAATTTCAATATGCAAGCTTCAACTTGGCTGGAATGCAAGAGACTTTGTTAGAAATTACACAAGGCTCTTAATATTCTCTTCCGTTCAGAAAATGAAGACTCTTCAGAAAATAAATGCAAAAAGAAAGATTTTCAAGAAAACCCAGATGCGGAAATCCAATCAAATTTGATGGTTTAAGAAAATGGAAATTGAGAATGAAAAAAAATAAAAAAAAATATAAAAAACTAAAAATTGTACTCTTTAAAGGGTTTGCAGGGCTAAAGCCTCAATACTTTCATTGATAATTTTGTTTGAGGCGGCGAAAATGGATTTAGAATATATAAGCTCGAAAAAACGGGAGTTTTTCCTAGATCGTTGGCGATATCTTAATTGGAAAATTAGTATATGAGTTTATGTGAATGGAAATGTGGAATGGGGTAAGGACTCGGTCAAATCGAGCGGCGGCGGGGGTTCGTCGGAGGAGGAGGAGAGTATTTGTCGAGGAACTCGTCCTGAGACGGATCGAAGTTGGAGGGCGGCTGGCCGTGGTGGTTTTGAAGAGGGAGGATTTGGTGTGGTTCTGAGTTGATGTTGTTGGGAATCTCTCTTTCTCTGTTGGGCTGCCTATAGATTTTATTAGTTTTATTAATTTATTTCTAGCCATTAAATTTTGTTTTAATTTATGATCAATAAAGGGCTGAGATTTAACTCACAGCAGCCCCTTACCCTACATCTCTCATCTACTCAATTGAGGCAGAAATTTCGAAACTCACAATTCCCAGAAAATTTCCGTAGTACGCCGCTCGTAAGCTTCATTTTAGGGAAAAAAAATAAAGACAACCTATCATTGCTTGGGAAAAAAACAAATGATATCTGACAATATATTATTTTAAGTTTAATGATGATGTATGAGAATTGATAAATTTGTATTTCGGGACAAATTATTATTTTTCCCTATGCATTTTAGCTTGTTTTCGTAAAATTATTAAGTAATAACTATTGTTATTTTTATAAATTGTTACTCACAAATTGTAGATTTTATATTTGACATTTTTTTATTTTATTGGATAACCGATAATCGAATCGATCAAACCGTAAAATTTTGGTTTGAAATCGAACCGACATAAATTTCGGTTCGGTTTTTATACTGGAAAAATCGAATGATTGGTTAACCGGAAATTCGGTCGATTCGGTTCGGTTTCGACCGATTGCGCAGCCCAAGCCGCTACCACCTCCTCGATCCTCTGGTGCTGGGGACGGGGGAGGATCCGGTGAATCCGCTTTCGGCTAGTGGTGTTAGACGAGTTCGAGTTGTACTGGTGTGGGTAGTCGGTTATTTGTTCCACCGGTTGGGGGCGGGTCGATTTTGGGTTTGATTCGTGGCTCGGGTTCGGCTTCTGTATACGCGGTTCGACAGTTTCGGTAGCGGTTCTTCAAGCTTAGGATCTCACTTCGGAGTTGACTGTTTCTCTGCTGGTTTCGATTTGGTTGATCTGCTGTGGAAGGGCCCCCTTTTAATTTTAGTTTGTTTGTTTTGTTTTCGTTTGGTGTTTTTTGTTGTTGCTTGGTTAGGAGTCATATTTTTTGTTTGGGCCGTTGGCCCATGTGAGCCGAGTGTGAGCGGGTATTACTTTGTTGCAGTTTTTGTAGTTTCTTTGCATTGTATTGTTGTGAGTTTATTTTCTAGCGTTGCTAGGCTGGCTCTAGAAGGTCTTCTGACCTGTCCTCCCAGTTTTCAGCTGTTGGCTGCTCTATTCAGCTAGGGACTGCGTAATTTGCACATTTGTGCGTTTTGATTTATAATATTCTCCATCGTTTCGAAAAAAAAAATGAATAATGTGCACATGGATCGTAACAAAAAATATATATAATTAATCAATTCATAATATATTAAATACACAAAAAAAGCCTTGATCAACTATATATATAATATTAATTATTTCATAACAAGTATTTGGCAAAATAAAAACGAAAATAAGTAATCAATTGGCACCTTAATTTGTTTTGTATTAATAAAATAATTATATTTTTATTTATATTTACTTCATAATAGCTACTACTAACTGTTTGTCTCATTTTTGTTGCGTTTTTCATGTTTATTTTATCTTTCTTTTTCCCCCATTTTAGGTCTTTCTTTAGTTTTTAGTCCGTTTCGTGTTTTATTATGTGTTTTCCTTCATCTTGAGTCTTTAGGTGTTTTTCGTTTGTTTTTCCGATTTTCTTTTGTGTTTTGTGGTTTTTGGTGTGTAGGTCAGGAGCTTCGGGCGAATTTTCTCTTCAGGAAAAGTTGGTTTTGAGAGCATAACTGGATAGATGGGTTCGTTGGTGACGCATAGCAAAAAACAGAACTCAATTCCGAGTTCGGACGAGTCCAAACGAGCTCGAAACGTAAAGCAGCGCGCAGCTGCCCAGTTTCCTTCACCGCGGCCGCGACTTCACCTCCGCGGCCGCGAGGGTCCCAAAAGCCACTTTTCTGGCTTGTGGATGTCGCGGCCTCGGGGATGGTCGCGGCCGCGGAGGTTCCTTCACCGCGGCCTCGGAGGAGGGTCGCGGCCGCGGAGGTCGCGACGTGCAGAAATTTAAATTCGATTTTTTGATCAGATTTTCATTATCTTCCACCTAGGTTTTATCATTCTTTCGTACTTTTTCACTCCAGAACTTAGTTTTCTCTTATCTTTCACTTGGAATTGATCTTGATTTGTTAAAACACCAAGATTCGACCTGTGGATTTGGATTGTTCGTTGTTTTTCGATATTGGATTCGTATTTAATCGTAAGCTTTCTATTTCATTTTATCTGTGATGATGATGGCTTTGATTGATATTGATGTTGATGTTGAATTGACGATGAGTAGCTAAATTCATATGCTAGGGATAGGGGATTGATGTTTTGAAATCGTTTGTGATTGTCGGGCTCAGGTTGTTCAAATTCATAGGAGTTAATCTTTTATTAGGGTTTTTCAATTTTTAGCTTGAGTTTTGAGAATTGTTGAAGAGTGACACTTCAACTTGCAATTGTTTGGATTGAATTCGATAAATTAGTGCTTGATGTTTTTAACTCTTAACGGACTAGTCGATTAACCACCCTCTAGTCTACTTTAATCGACTCTTAGAACCGAAAGGGGAGGAGTCGGTCGAAATAGGCTCGTATGAACTAGGCTTGTTCGTAACTGTATTGCCTAGGAGTTAAATGAATTGTTAATTTGCCGTTCTAGTTTGTTCTCTTGTTACGGAAAGTTATTGAGGATGAATCTTTGAACGAGTAGGTTATTCGAGTCATTTAACCGAACAATCACTTGCCCGTTAACTGCAATTCGAACCGAAACAAATATTCCCGATTCCCTAGCATCTTTATCATTGTTTATTTCATGTTCTTGAGTTAATTTATGTTTTATGCATTTTCTGTTATTTCCTAGCTGATATTTCAAACCCTAATTGTGATGAGAGTGTTTAGGATTTATCTTGCTTTCGTGTGTCATCAACACCAATTCTAGATTCTGAACCGCCTTCCTCGAGAGATCGACCCGGGGAACGGATCATTCGATTCGGTACTCGGTAATATAACAATTTGTACACAACACTAACTAATCATAAAGTCACATTAAATGATATTTTATTCTATTTTTTTTTAAAACTATTTAGTTACACTATTATTTCTTTTTTAATTCATTAAACAAGTTTTTTTATATTAAAATTAGTTTTTTTTTATGGTATACCCAATCCCTAAAATTTCGTACATAATTGGTATAATAATAAATTTAATATTTTTTATCTAATTAATTGGTCATAATCAACTAAATTATATTATTGTGATCAATATAAAGAATATATGTAATATTTTTTATTTATATCATTAATTTTTGCTAATGTTAAAATATATAAAATGTGATTTTACATCATTAATGTTTACTAATGTTAAAACATATAAATTGTGATAGGATCATTATCTAACTTATAATTTTAACTATTACATATACACACATATAACATATTAAATTTTTATTTGCATTAGTGTATATGCACAGGATCGAATACAAGTATATATATATAGGGTTGGGTTCCGGTGAGAATGACTCTTATTGAAAGAAATAAGAATATACCGTAGTCATTAGATCAGATGATCTAATGGCTAAAAAAAAGTCAAAGTTATACATTCATTAAGGATATTGTAGTAATTTTGCACAACACACATAAAAAGTGGGCCGCCTCACACAATAATGCACTGCCAACTAATACCATCCACCCACCCCACCCCATCTTCTCTCTCCATCTCACACATGCACACACACACATAGAAATTGAAAAACAGACACAGTCACGGTCAGCAACCACCAGTCTGCCACCGCCCGTCCGCCGTCGCCACCGCACGTCCGCCTCTGTCACAGCCTCTCTGCCCGCTCTCTCTGGATCACTCTCTCTCTCTCTCTCTCACACACACACACACACGGAAATCGACAAACACACACGGTCACTGCTTGCCGTCGACCGTTTGCAGCCGCCGCCGCCCCCGTCACCGTCGACACACACACAATCATGGATCTACGCACAACCATCCACCGCCCGTTCTCCGTCGCCATCGCCCCCCGTCACCGCTGATACACACACGGATCTACGCACAACCCTCCTCCGCCGCCGCCGCCATATATGTCTGAACTTACTCTACAGCGCACCAATGGCCGTCGGAGGCCGATGCCGGACGAATTGAGTAGGGGATGGCAATGAGCGACGGGAATTAGAATTTTGGGTTTCTTGATTTTTGTTTGTTTTCATTCCAACTGGAGGCCGGGCTC